AGCCAGCAATAGGCTCCAAGGGCCTTTCTTGAGGTCCCTTACAACAATTATAGAGCGGAATTTTGATCCAGGGGGGTCGATTTTTATGTTCCCGTAGTACCTTAATAATGGGTAACTGCTGAGTGATTAGCGAATGAAACGTGTCCTGAATATTCACATTTTCTTTGCTCTTCTTCAAAAAAGACTATTTGAAATATGTAGATGAATTTATTGAGTAATATTTATTTTTAACTTGAAAGGAGTGGTGAAAGACTAGTTGGAATAAGTTTGAGCAGTACCGATATGGAATAAGGGCGTTTGCGCATAAAAAAATTCTACCTGCATCCCAGCAATGTGAGATGAATAAATTCATTAAAACCCCACGTTCAATTGGAAAAAGGTATGAGATACCATTTTACCGATAATTAAATTTTGACCAGCTTCAGATTATTTATGAGAAGTTTTTATCGCTTTTCTCAAATAACATATTTTGCATATACCCCCCTTTTCTAGAGAACTCCTCAATTATGCCTGTGACCCCAGGAATTTTATCAGATTGGTCAAAACCCATTTATCAAATGAATTGGTCATATCCCCGATAATGGAGCGCCGAAGGCACGACCATAGCCAAACATATCTGAATAAATCCGAACACAATGGTCACAAAATTACTGTATAATCCGAAACCGACAGAGGCAGTCAGGAAAGGCCTGTTAACGTTTCTTCAGATAAGGTCCATCACGACAGTTCATTCTTTTAATTGGACTTTTCCTTTCTCTCAACATATTTGCAGCTCATGCTGCAAGCTTCGAATGAATTTCAAATAGTTTCTCCCAATGAAGACGTTGCCATGGAAAAGGCTGATGAGGACTATGTCAAGCACTGTTTAGCCTTGAGTTGTGGCTTTTAATATTCGAATGCAACTTTCTTCCTGGCATTACAAAACACCTGAAACATACAAACATAACTGATTGACAATAAGAGCTTTTTAAAAGTATTCAAAAGATTTTTCAAAAATACGGATTTTTTTTTTATCTCCCGCAATATTTATTTTTCTCCCTTGTCTTCATGAAATTGCCTATATGACTTTTTAATTCAGGGCCTGAGTCGTTCCGCATACCCGAATTCTTCTCCATTCAGGAGACTCTTCTGGCTCATAATATTTCTCGTCGCCACAGGCCACATGATTTACCTCATCGCCGACGCAATCAAGAATTATAGCTCAGGCCCAAAGGCGACCATGATCGAGGTAGGAAGATCCCGAGCATTGTCATATTATCCGCTATAGTCGAATATTGATCGTTGCTTTCGTCCAGCTGAACACGCACAAGGAGCTCGAGTTCCCGGCCGTCACGATCTGCGCCTACAGTCCTTTCTGGAAGAACCAAGAAGATGATCCGACACTTTTAAACTTCAAGAATCTCTTCGAGCTGAACGAGGACCTCGAAGGAGCACTCAATGACCTCTTACAGCCTGTAGACACGAGCCACCAGACGACTGTTGCTCTCTCGTCTAACGACGACGACGACGATACTAAACGGGACGTGGTGCGGAATAACTGCATCAAGCCCTTTGTCCATCTCTACCGTATGTTTGCAATGCCATTCCTCCTTTCATCAAGCCGTTTTGGCTGAACTGCACCAAAGGGTGGCATTTCTTTTTACAGCAAATGATGCCCAGAATTCCTCAAGACTGAAAAGACAAGTGGAGGTATCTACATCAGCGCTCAATTCAAATTCAGATGTAATCACAACGGAAATGGATTCTATTTATTATGACGCCTCACAAGTCGCAGTTGACATATTCAATTCCTCAAGCACGAACCCTCCCACATCTGCAATGAACTCCTCATTGAACACAAGCACCGAAGTCCCAACAAACACAGAAGCAAATTCTGGTCTGACCTCCGAGACTCTTCCGTTTGAAGCGTCAACCCGAAAATCTCACGGCGCATCGACAACCTCTGGTTCCCAACTGGAGGTCAGCGTTCATTCAACGACACGGTCTCCAGTTGATGGCCGAGCCGAGAGTTCCACTCCGTTCGATGCCTCTGAGGTTCCAAGGGAAGAGGACTACGACGACGACGAACTCCGAAAAATCTTCGAAGACGATGGGATCCGGGTTGACTCAGGAGACGAGAGAAAAAGTACGTGCAGTCCTGGTGGCCGAATGTAGTGTAAAGCCTAACAGCACGCATTCGTTACAGAGATTCTTGCACTAAAAGACGTAAATATATTTTTCTGTAGATGGAACGAGGAAAATCAACAACGAGACCGTTAAGGTGGATGATTTTCTCTCAATGATGTTTTTGACCAGCTCCTACTCGTTGCGTGACTTCCGGGAATACCTAAATCTTGCCGACGCCATCAGCGACATCAATAAGTCCATACAGCATTGCAGCTTCAATGATGTACCATGCAATCCTGAGTATGTGCCTGATATTATCCTGAGGAAGTGCCGTATCAGGCAAATTTTTTTATTTAAAGGAAAACTCTGGATACATGGATTGTACCATGCAAAAACGAAGTTAATATATTCGAAACACTCATTGAAGGAAATTTCAATCTCCAGAAGCTTTCACGAAATGAAAACGAGTACAAAGTTGCTATGCTTTGGAATTGCTTTGTATTTCCAGTGACTTCAGGGTCAAGAACGACTCAAACTATGGGCAATGCCTGACCTACAACTACAAGGGTGATAAACGCGTTAGCCGTTCTGGGTCATCGGTGAGATTATCTCGCCCAATAATCAAAGCGTAAGCCTTGGCAATGCTGATCTCAGCGACTTTGTACCTCCACAGAATGCGCTTCTCCTGAAACTGACCTGGAACGCCTTGAACGAATTCATTCTCCTCGCACCGGCAAAAGGATTCCGGATCACCCTCCACCATCCAAAGTCTGAGCCAGACCCCCTCGGGGAGGGTTTCGACGTCGGCCTCAATTGGAATTCATACGTTGGAATGCGGAAGATGAGTTTTGAACGCCTTCGTCCAGATACAGGGGGGGATTGCGCCTTCGATTCCTACCTACAGGAACGCTTTGACCAAAGGATTTTCAAGGTTTCGGATGGAACTAAATATTCCAAGATGGTATGAGGAAGTTTCGCGAGTCCAATTGTACTAGGTTATTTTGGGTTACTAGGTTAATTATGGTAAAATTCATTGGGTGATACGCATACCTATTGGTCAGACAAGTTATTCCCGTTATGGGACGTCATTGGTAAACTAACAAGCGGAAATCTTTAGATTCTTAAAATCTAAAGATCTCCGTTTGTTAGTTTACCAAGACACACCGATATGTAATTCTCTGCCGAATAGTCAGCCGCACAATTTTTTTTTACCTGAAGCCACTTATATTCGTATGAGGATTCAGGTTAACACATCCATGGTTGACCACCAAAGAGACACTCACATAGAGGTACACACATTTATTTTGCTGTGTTTAGGCATACGTGATGATGCTAATTGTATGAATAATTTTGGCCCACCCAGTATATATTTGGAAAAACCTACTCGTCCAAAAGCGAAGTCCTTAGTTGATGCACCGCCAAAACTGAATTTTTCTTGAACTCAACATTACGTCAGCAATGTGCATAGTAAGTTAAAAATTTGTATTTCTGCCTGTCGCAGTAGGCATGTTTCATCTTTCATCATCGTATGTTAAGTCAGCTTTCCATGTCTCTCCGCTTGACTGAAGCCAAAATCTTTATTTGAAATCATCCCCCTGGAAATGGTGCGCCCCAGAGTCTATACCTCCAAAGTCCAATTTTTCCTTAACTCTACGTTGCCTACCATTTTTTATTATTTCTAACTTCTGTAGAACGTGGTTGGAATTAGCGTCAGACACTCAGCCTCTTACTCAATCAGGAATGTCTATAGCCACGTTGTCCATTAAGTGACTACCTACGGGCGACGTTTTCATTATAGACCCTGAAGTCGAATTTTTAAAATACTTTTGTAGACTGACAACATACCGACCTCGGAATAGTGTCACATATTTCCTCCTACCACTTTGGCTGATGAATAATTTCTCGCACCTGGTGTTTCACGATTTTTCCCATTTAATAGAGAAGAAATTTAGACAACTTTTCGAGGCAAATTTTGCCTATACCCTATTGCGAAATCTTATTCAGTTATCACGGTATTGATTGAATAATAGAGCGTTTTGGGATTCAAAATCATAAAAATTAGGAATTTACTCTACAAAATGGCTCAATGCGTCGACCGCTGATTTACAGACATTTCTCAGCCCATTGTTGGCTCCATCTATGAGAATTCCATAACTTTTTGTCTCATGACACTTGAGATATTCTCTTCCAAGTTGTTCAGATCGGTGGGCTTCTCCTCGGAAAAAAAGCATTTTAAGTAGCCCCAGAAAAAAAAACCAACATGGGTCAAAATCCGGAGATCGTGGAGGTCATTTGCCCTGGCTGACGATTTGGATTGCTACGCTCCAAAAGTCTGAACTTGTAATTAAAACAAGGTTTTGGTAATTTAATTTTCAGTGGCAATAGAATGTAGAAACAAAATATGTGATATCATTCCGAAGTCTAATGATAAACAGGCTACAAAAAGAAAAGGTTGGTTTCCGCAGATTCAATATGAAAGAAGTTGTCCATAGGTAGTCTCTTTATGGACACCCTGTATATTAGATAGTAAGTTACATAACTTCCTGAGGAATCCATTTATTTATTTAAAGTTAGCATTTATTTCCAGTATATATATTCAAGTAAACTCAGACACTCGAATACTAACGGGTGTTTTCACTTTTCTCATATTAAATTAGTGGAATGGCGTGAGCTTTCCCTGATTTTTCCCCCATAATGTCATTTTCCCATCCAATCAGCTCTGTCTAGAGCTCTGCAAGCTTTGGCGCATACGTCAGAATGCAACTACTCAGTGCTACTTGAAGTCTCCTCTTCTGCAAAACGAAGTGAACGTGTCGGAATATTGCAACCGGCAAGGTGAGGGCTATGTGACTAGAGATTTCTCAATGAACCAATTCTTTCGTCTCTGAAAATTTCAAAAGAGCGATGAAGACCTTCCTTGGCTGATAAACAATTTTTATGAGGATCTTTTCTATTAATATCTTACGGACAGCTCGCATGAAGTCCGTGGATATTCTGAAGATGATCAATAAGGATGAAGATTATTTATGCTCCTGCCCGCAACCCTGCACGTGAGCCTGAACCAAAAATCATCGCCTACCATTGAATATATGAGGGCAAAGCCATGTTTGCCGCTTGTTTTAGGGAAGAGAGATATCAGTGGTCTTTGTCGACGGCGCAGACGGTTCCTCAGCACGCTTGGCTCTTGGACCTCATCGCATGGATGAGGGTGAAGAAGGGGACGACTCTAGACAAGAATATTCTCATGACAGAGACCTACTGCAAGCAACCCACGTCTGTCCTGTCATTTTATTCTGCATAAATTTAGCAGCATCAGATTCCTGTCCAACATGGAAAATGCCGTTTTCGTGCATGGATTTCTAATCAGCTGGCTGAGAGAATTAATAATATTTAAGCAGTTTCGAATAAAAATAAGCACTTGTAACGTCTGTCAACAATCCAAAATATGTTCACAGAGATGATGCGAGTATCGCCGTGGTGAATATCTACTACGAAACGATGACGACGGAACGAATTGCAGAAACTCCCATGTTCTCGGTGAGCTAAAACTTCGGAACATTTTCTTAATCGAATACCCATGATCCATTTTTTGAAAGTCAAATTTGGGATCAAGCACTGCCAATTAATTATTCGCCAGCGAAATATTGTTAAAACACATAGACGATTATCCATATATGTCATCCGTCTAACGTATGTCTATGCAACTCCGGAGTTCTTTGAATAATTATCAGTGTTTCACGTGACAACACATACGCGAGACGCTTCTCCAACACTAGGGAATTGCCTTCCCAAATGCTGTCGCTTGTATTCAGTTAAGATTTACTCTGCATCGCTGGATGAATTCCAATGGAAATTCAAAAACTTATAATAATAATAATAATAATTAGTTTCGAAATGAAATGTTATCCCAGAGTAATTACATCATCCTTTACTCATATGATTGGTCCAAGAGCGAAAAGGGTTACATCTGCGGACAATTTTGGTCGTCGGCCTATTCCTCTGTTGCTTAATAAATGCTTCCTTTCGTGCATTGGAGAGATTAAAGTAGCAAGTGAAGATGATGGATAGAGGGAGACCCCTTTTAGACATCCACAACATGTTGTTCACCTGTTTTAATAGGTTATGTGATACTTGCTTTCTTTCTTCCTTAGGTTCTCATTAGTCATAGGAATGACCAGCATTTGAGCGATAAAGAAGTCGTTCTCATCGTATGATACGGCAATATACAGGGTGGGCAAAAAAAACCTGTCATCTTTGATGAGCCGTCAATCACATTTCACGCTGCCGATTCTGAATAAATTTGGTGGGTTCATAGGGTGACTCGATTGGAGTTTTTATGCCGCGCTTCAGCCTTCTAACTCTAACATAGGAACTGTTCCTATTCTCCGATGACCCACGACAATATTTGGTGTCATTTGCTGTCAGAAATATCGATATGAACCTGAGGCCGCGATGAAAGGGAGAGCAAATTCATGATCTTCCATCCCTGCATTATGATATAGAGTAAGATTTGGTAGCACTGCCTCAAAGATTGATTGACGGAGCTAGTGATCTGTGGCGTCCCAGATTAGAGGCTTGTGTTCAACAGAATGGTGGGAACATTGCCCATCTTTTCAGTTGAAATGAACCTTCCTAAACAAAATTGTGTAGTTTCGTTTTAGGCACTTGTGAATGTTGTTTTCGTTCTTTTAGTTTGCTTGGTTATTTTGTCAGTTGTGAGAAATTGTACATTTAAATAAGAAATGAACATTTACTTTTTTGGTGCTGAAAAGTGAATGAAATGTCATTCTCATAATTTTGATATTTCGATTTGAAATCTGACACACGAATCCCCATGTGTCTTCCAATTTTCATAAAATCGGCAGCCTTTTATCTGAATCACAAATCACCAGCAAATATATTTTCTGTTTTCTTTTTTAACCACCCTGTATAATCCTTTCATCGAATTGAGGAATTTTCCGTCTGTCAATATATATATATATATTGTAGTAGGACTAGAACAATAAGGCGAGACATTGATTTCGGATCTTGGGATTGCTACATTTTTCTAGTTTTACTACAATATATATATTGCAGGAAGACACTTACTACAATATTACTGCAATATATATATATATATATATATATATATATTTATATATATATATTGTAGCAATCCCAAGATCCGAAAGCAATGCCTCGCCTTTAATTCTACATGTTTTCACATCCAAAAATGTGTGCTATTCAACAAAACTGAAAAAACTCTGCACTTCCCCAGTTCTTGTAATAATGCCTGATGCAAGGGAAAACTCGGGATCAGAAAAGACGGTAATTGTTTATTCTTTCACTTCGGCTTTTTTCCTTCGCATTTACTCAGGAGTTTTCTAGCTTAATTGGATTCATCAATTCTATATGAGCACATCATTTTTCTTTAAAAATTATTGAAGATATTCTCACAAGTTAGTTTTGGTTGCCTGACTAATGATGGAGACGACTGTCGCAGACGGAGATATTTAAAAGGAGAATTTGCTTAAACAGGTAGTGAGCTTCATCGGTACACTGGGAGGGTTGCTGGGCCTCTACGCCGGTCTGTCCTTCGTCTCCGTTCTGGAAGTGCTGGAGTGGATGTTGGACCTGGTCTTGTACGGTTGGAGGAAGCCGGAGGAAAAACTGGGAAGGAAGCGAGTGGCCATCATCACTTGTGAGTTTGCGCCTATCGAACCATTATCGATTTGGGACTCAATTCACTCATTACTTTCGATAGGTATAGAACCCCTTGAGCTGGAACGAACATCCACGAAGATGGAAGCGCTGGGGTCAGGGGCCTCTTGGGGTGAGATGCTCCATAACTATCGTCCTCACAGGGAAGCTCAGAGAGCAGGATTCGATATCGTCTTCTCTGATCAAGTGATATTCTAAACTGATGTTCAGCTTCTTCAGTATATCAATATAATTTCCAATGGAATATGCGCGCTCCTCTACGTATTCCCAATTCTCTCCCAAAGGACTGCCATGCTTCATATTTCAGCCTCAAAACAAAACTGCGTATTAATAAATGTGCAACTACTCGAGAGGCACAGTCCCATTTCAATGCCACCAAACTCATGAAACTGAAAACTATGTTCATTCATGCTTTGGTATACAATGTTTCTCTATAATGAAAGCGTAGTGAAAATATAGACATACATCACACGTTTCTACTTCTAACATGTTTGGAAGGACTCCTGATATTAAGTTGAAAATCTCATTTATATATGTGTTTTAAAATTAGACATCGACAGAGGAAAAGACGAATAATTCTACATTTACAATAGTGATCACTTCCGATTGTCATATCCACAACATTGCAAATGTATTTTAACCAAGGACTTGATAAAGCATCCCTCTTTTCTACCATGTACAGTATACTGAATCATTTCTTAATTATAAAATGCACTTTTCTTTATTTTCTTCTTTTCTGATCACTCTATGGTCACAACTCGTCAGTCATGATCGTCTATATGATCAGTGCGGATAAATTCTTGCGAGACTTGGGCAATCCGAAAAGGAATACGTTACCCATCACTCCCACTTTAAAACAGGATACTATTGGAACTTACTGAAAGGTATTACTGATGACAATTAAACTGTGACAAGACGAGACATTGGCCCACTTTCTGCAACTGTCTTCACTAGTGACAGTAAGACCCCTGTACTTAATTGTCTCTGTGCACCTACCCCTAAATTTTGGCCTGGAAAGTCAAGAAAAGGCGTTAATAGGCATTTGAAAAGAATAAAATGTATAATATCGTTTTGCACAATGCTGCGGCTATTTGGCAATTTCTGCTGTAATGTTTTTCTAAAGTTTCTGTAATGTGTGAAGCCCATTTTGGTGCACCTATTCTTTCAATAGCTCTATGCAAAGTAATTGGTGTCGTTAGATCTGGAGATCTTGCAGGTCATGAAATGTCCCCAAATAAAAAAGACAAAGCATATGAATTTGAAAAGCATGCACTTTCTAGTGTTGCATCTCATAGAACCCCTTTTTAGCACACTACCTTCAAAATCGAAGCTGTAACATGTTGCCCTTGAAGTGTAAGGCCTTGATGTGTTAGGATCAAAGAACACCAGCGATACACTCTAATTTTGGCAAAAATTCCCTCATCGACGACGCCACCGCTGCAGGAAACGCAAAAGGTCGATCGCATTCCGTGGCACGACCTTCCCCTTGACTCCTTGGCAATCCCACCAGTAGCCGTTGCTACGTGCACAGCCCCTGATCCTTACTTATAGCAAGCGGGAATTTATAGGCGATTCCGGACAGGCTGGAAGTCTTCCTATCCCTTCGACGTCCCGCGCTGAGAAATGGAGGGTAACTGCTCCAGTCGCGCTTGCGAATCGATGCTCCCTCCTTCCCTCATGTGAAACGCTAGTGATGGAAAGCCTCCATGGCTCCCTGTACGTTTGCTCCGTGAAGAAGCAGACGAGATATCTTCTTTTCAACTCCTCGACCTCCAGCTCAAGCATCGGCCAGGAGGTCGTCGGGGAATACGAAAAGACCGGCTGACTCCGACGTCCAGACACATTTCTATCATTTTGTCCAATGCATAGAACTAGAAAAGGAAAATATACGAAATAAACCATTTGATATATTGTGCCCTTTTTTGAACCGCTTCACCCAGGACCGCGGTGTTCCAACCCGAAGACTCACCGCCACAGGGACATATCATCCCATAGTGTGACTTGAAGCCATGTCTACCCGCGGGTGCTAGGGAATAACTTGCACCTGAAACGAATGCCTGCCTTGTAAAACAATATGGAACCCTCTCCATCATGATATTCAGCTCATTACCACAATCGCCATTGTGAATGCCTTGGTTAGCAGGTTTTCATGAGGCTCCAGACGACTTTTCTGATTTCGTCATCCCAGCACTTTCAATACCTTTGCATCACCGATTAGCTCATGGGCCATTAGCGTCAGCGTATGGTACAGACACCAATGATTCTAAAACGGTGAGGGCCAGTTCCAAGAACTTGTTCGGCTTTAGGAAAGAAGGAAGTTAGCGCATGTGCGGCACAATACTAATTAATAATATTATTCATGAAAATACATTGCCGCCACATTAGCACCAGTGATAAACACTTTCAAAGCCTCAGTGTAAAGTGTGAGTTGCAGCAGGACCACTTTTCTGTTGTTGCAACAATGTGAAAAAATGCCCCCACCCTAAAGCAAAATGTACAGCCTGATAATGCTCGCTGCGGCAAACGACTGTAGTTATTGAGATGACATGGTGAGGCATAACAAAATGTCCCGAGTTTCGTGGTGTCACGATAGCACACCTAATCGGCAAGCAGGAGGTCCGGATTCAATTCCGGGTTGTCCCCCCCCCCCCCGCCCACCTTTCGATTCCTGAGTGCTGCATTTCTTTGCATCAAGTTGCTCAGCAGGCAGCACGGCTCTCCTATTCCTGAGCTCAACATTCACTGTCTCCTGCTGTTCAGCGGTCTGAGCGGCCCTACGCTCCCTACGTACAATTGCGTGCTATTAATTACGCATTCTAGCCATTACGGCTAGCACCTTCTAAAGCACTTCACACCGGAACTGCAGTGGCAAACGTTGTTTCCGCGCCAGCATCAATCGTTTTTTATCTGCAGCGAATGCCTCATCGCCTTCCTGTGGGACCTCAAAAATCTCTTATTCGCGTTCAACCTCATCACGCAAAAATCGCCACCATTTTCATGGGAGGAGCGGACCTTTGCGCGACATATGAAACAAAGAGCTTACCTTATTATTTTGACATCTATCAATCATGAGAACTCAAATAAATTGGTCATTACATGACATGAAACGTAAACAGAAAACTATTGCATGGAAGCAATGGCGGTTCTCGCCATTGCTTCCATGCAATAGTTTTCCCAACGAAAAAAATGCATACAGAAAAAAATACTTCAATAAATAATGTATTCACAAGGAGAACTTGATGTCGATCAGTGAAAACGTGACACGCATTCAGTTAGTAGCATTCTTTGATTGGACACAGCTAAGTATGAAGCCTATGGAAATAAAAAGATGTGTCACATATTATGGCTCAGACAGACATAGGCCTATGGACCCGGCGCTAAGTGCGTTGGATGGCGAAGCCTATGGCTTAGGATGGCATAGCCCTACGAACGTGGCGATTTCGGCGGTGGATGACATAGTCTCGTAGACCTCGTGCGTTGCAGTGACAGCCACCACCACAACTTTCGAGCTCTTTGAATTAAAGTCTAACTAGCGGCCTGCGGCCGCTACGCTGGCCGTCTAGTATGTGGGAATTTGAATCGTATATTCAGAGCAAAACGTCTTCTAGACAATCTGTTCATTGCATTACCCATTCGGAAATGAACCGCTTCATTACATTTATATACATATAGCTTACAGTACACAGGGATATGCTGCTCCTAAACATCATCATAATGATGTTCGAGTTGATTGTCACAATCGCAATTGTGAACGCCTCGGTTTAGCACGTTTTCATGAGACTCAAGACGACATTGCTGAATTCGTCTTCCTAACACATTCAACACTCTTGCATCACCGATTAGCTCCTCGGCTATTCGCGTTAGTGTATGGTACAGACACAAATGATTCTGAAAGAGTACTGACCGTTTCCAAGAAATTGTTCGACGGCACAGAGGGAAGTTAGTGCATGTGCGGCACAATGCTAAAAACTAATTCCTGAAAATACCAACCTTGCATCAAGTTGTTAGCAGGCTGCACGGCTCTCCTATTCTGAAGCTCAGCATTCGATGCCTCTTGCTGTTCAGCGGTATGAGCGGCCCTAAGCTTCCTACGTACATGTGCTTGCGGTACATCACCGATTTTTGCCATTACGGCTAGCACCGATTTAGGCACTTCGTACCGCAACTGCCGTGGCAACCGTTTTATACCAGCAACAACTGCCTCATCGCCGTCCTGTGGGAGCTCCTCCAACATTTCTTCTTCGCGTTTAACCTCACCTCGCAAAAATCGCCACCATTTTGATAGGAGGTGCACCTCGTTTGCGCGAAATATGAAGAGAAACTTTTTAGACTATTATTTTGACTTAATCCATCATGAGAACTCAAATAGAAAACTATTGCATGGAAGCGATGGCGCGAATCGCCACGCCTGACCTAACGGGAAAAAAAATAAATACAGAAAATATACTTCAGCAAAGAATGCATTCAAATGAAGAACATGCAGTCGATCAGTGAAAACGTGATACACATTCAGTTCGTAGCACCCTTTGCTTGACACAGGACACAGATATTGATATGAAGCCTATAGCTCAGACTGATATAGCCCCATGGACCTGGCGCTTTCAGCGGTGGAAGGTCTAGCCCATGGCCAAGGATGGCACTGCCTAATGGACCTGGCGCTTTGAGTGGTGGACGACATAGCCTATGGCCATCATTTTAAAGATCTGGTCTCGTAGGCCTCGCGCGTTGTGGTGACAGCAACCACCACAACTTCTTCCCAGCACACTCAATACTCTTGGCATCACCGATTAGCTGATGGGTTATTAGCATTAGCTTATGGTACAGGTACCACTGAATCTGAAACAGTACGGGTCATTTCCAAGAACCTATTCGACTTTAGCACAGAGGGAATTTTGCGCATGTGTAGCGGAATACTAACGAATAATTCCTGAAAATACCTCGCCTCCACATTAGCACCAGTGAACAACAGTGTGAGCGTTAATTGTGAGTTGCAGCAGAAGCACTTTTCTGTTGTGGCAGCAATATGAAACAAATGTCCCCTCCCTACAGCAAAATATACAGCCTGACGGTGCTCGCTACGCAAACGACTGTAATGATTTGAGATGACATGGAGAGGCCTGACAAAATGTCCCGAGTTTCGTAATGTATTGGTAGCACACCTGACTAGCAAGCAGGTTCAATTCCCGGTCCAGGTTCAA